CAGCTTGACATGGGCCGCACCTTCATTTTAATTGTTTTCTAAAGGGGATCAATTAAAAATCAACTTGGCCAACTTCAAATTTCCCACGATTCAAGATTGACCCATATGGACCCTAGTTTTTGTAGTCTTTGGGGTGCATTTAGTCATAATTAGGGGAAGGGGTTACTAAAATAGTGGCAAGTCGTACTTTTCCTATAGCCCCAAAAATGGCTTAGTCCCGTGCTGTGCAGGAAGCCAAGCTCAATGAGACGGGTCACGTCGCGAAAACGCGCAGGACCTCGCTCGAGATGGGACTTGTTGGAGGGGATGTTTAGTATGAGGGGAATTGGATCATATGGGAATGGGTCAAAGTCTACAAGACCATATTTGGGTGGGAGGAACGTCCATAAAAACATGCATTTACCAGCAATTTTGGGGTGAGCAGAAGGGTCCAAAAGCTTTTGACCCTGTGGGTGTTTCATCGGCATGCCTCCAAGTGATCCCTGTCGATTCAAATTGCCACTGAAATTGTGGCAAACAGTGGCAAACTTCTTATTAATCTTATTACAGTATCTTCTTGGGTTACTGTACTTTAAGTTGGTTTGAAACTAGGCTCACTGGGGTTTATCGATATTTATGGTGGATATTATGTGTATATATATATACATAGATACATCGTTTAAGGACCCTCTCTTTGGCGCTGTCTAAACCAAAGTGAAGGGCAGCTGATTCAAATCGTTTTCTTTCAGTGGAACACAGGTGAATTCAGGAAAGTCCATTTTTTGGAAAGTTTCCAATCATTTTCCATTGATAATGGTAATGTCCAGTGCCATGCCAATCCCCAGGTAGCTTCAGAAACATCTGAATACGTCATAATACATTCACATTGCTATCAACAAAAGAGTGATGTTCCACCCTTTCAGACCCTTTCAACAGCTTCATCTTGCTCGAGCCTGCCATGTACATAATTCTCGTTCACCTTGCTGCGATTTAACCGGCAAACCAGTGAGTTGCTCAACTGTGGGGGCTCATCATTTTATAGCGTCCAGTCGCGGTGTTGTCTCGACCAACTGCTTGCGTGTGGGATATGGCGTGGTACTTCACTCAAGCTTTTTTGATAACTAGCCATATTCGGACTAAGTAGGTTAAAATTCAAGTGATACTTGTTTAACTTGTTTGGGTTCTGAGTTCCTATCATGGAATGCAAAGTCCGATTTCCACCGGAATTATGGCTGCTGATTTACGGCGAATGAATCGTTTTTGACGGGACCAAGATATTTGATATGATTGCCTGCTCGTGTCATATGGTTCGATTGCCAAGCCGGACCATGGTGTCACTGCGGCGGAAGTGTCGCACTCCATCCCAACTTGGGTGATCCCATTTGACAAGTCTTTCCCAGGATTTTTGTCCTTCACTATGAAGCAGGTTACCAGTTAGGAAGTAAACGCTGAAGTTTGGCGCCAGTAGGATAAGTCCGAGACACCCCAGTCCGACGCCGTTGATAATTTCCCAGTTCCGTTGACACGCCAAGAACCGGTGATGGAGCAATGATTCTTCCCAACAGCCTGAGCGTCATCTACTTCCAAGACCTTGCGCATGGGTCAATATATCATCACCTCCCATATTTCCACATATTTCCACTAGACAAGAATAAACATCTCAACACCATGATTGATAAACAACATTCAAAACCACTTGCTCCACGAAGCCTCGTTTGCTTGTTTTGCATCTGGGTGTGTCCCAAAATGCGGAATTTGACTGTAACCGCTCTAACCAGTGTATACCATATACATCCATATACGTTATACCCATTTCTCGGACAAAGCCGGAAACTCTGCTCATTTTGATAATTTTTTCCTTTTTTAAATCCTTTTACCATGTTTTACCATCCATTTCGGAGACTTGAGAATTCTCACCGAGACCCAGACCTTAAAATGTTGACTTCTTCCCGGTTCTACCATGGAGTTGGTCCATGGCTCCGTAAGTCGACGTCTACAGCTCTGACCCAGTGGTGGCATGTGGTCTGGCTGCCACGGTGACTTCTGCTGGTGAAGCACAAAAGGTTGGGGGAAAAATCGACAGTAGCCTGACCGAGATCACCATAAATCTATATAAATCTGGGAGTTTGAAATGGACTTTTAAGGGGGAACATGCCCAAATTGTCTTAAAACAGATATTGGTCAATGATATACTAAGACCCAAAAGGATAGAACAGTCATTTATAACATTTTATAACTAATTTAGTAGGATTGTACTTTTCTATCTTTTGGAGGGTTGCTGATAATGATTGAACATGTTATTATGTCATGTGGCCCACATGGTCCAGGAATTTTCCGTTGAATTTTCACCAGATGAAGTCGACGGGTCCTGTGAGCCAACTATCATTCTGGCTCCGGCCAAAGCGGCTCGAAAACTCTCAAGAAATGGCCCAAACATGTAGAAACCAAGGTGCACAGAAACGGATTTTGATCTTGGACTCAACGAATTTGAATATAGTCATAATGTACTTTAGTTGAATAATTTTGAACATTTTGAAATATTTTGAATATGGGTTCGTCGAAGTCTCTCCAAATTTCACCCTGATTGGATGCAATTGATCCCAAAAGGAGATGTTGCTGATCGTAAGAGTCACCCAAAACACATCATCTGGGGCTGATGTCTGGAATTTTGTATCTCTGACAAGGCACAGCTGATATTCTGAGTTGGAAGCCTGCGAGGCTGCACCCAGCATCAATTGCAAGAGAAATGGCCATCCCGTGTTTGAAATCTGATGAATACATCGGCTTCCATGATATGCGCAGCGAAGATAAGGAGATTTTCAAGCCTCTATCCTTAGTTCGAGTTTCCATTTTCCCAATTCAATTCGAAACCCCTTGGCCCCAACCTCAAGAGGGTTGGACCCCTGTGGCGTTCAAGACTTTCTCATTTTTTCACGGGCGAACTCAACTCTATTCAGTCTTCTACGACTCTAAGATTTTCTAAGTTTTTCTGAATCTTTCTCCAACAAAACATGATACCATCTGGTTATTTAAGATAGCCATGGAAAATCACGAAAATCACCATGTTTAATAGGTAAACCATGGTAAACCATCTATTTCTATGGGCCATCTATACCATGGCTATGTTAGTCATAACCAGATGATAAACATGGGAGAAAAAATCGCCCAATGGGGTCCGTCCCTGGGGGACCTTCGGGATTTCCCGAGGCCGTGTTGCTGAGGCGTCCAAGCGAAACGAATCCCCAAGTCACCCGTTCCAATTTCGAGGTCTACGGCTGGATGATTTGGGGACACCCCTATTTTAAGAAACCTCAATAGAATTCTATAGATGTTGCAAAAACGCATTAAGCCATTAAGCAGTCAGGGAGTTTTGGGATGGTTGTTAGAGCTAGTGAATTGACAGCGTCTGCGGTAAACTGCAAGTTCTGCACCATTTGCTGACTTCAGGCTGAACCCCAGTCCCAAGCCAACTGCCTGGAGGAACGAAAGATCCAACTGCTTGTTCCAAAGGCTTGATTTGTCTTCGGGATACCTGCCTAAAGATGCCAAAATCGTTTCAGATGCTATCAGATATCAGGTAGTTGTGGTTGTTTCTTCTTTTCCTCCTAATCACAAGTGTCAGGCAGAACGTCTTCCACTCGTTGTTTGGCATCTCGCCGCAAAGAATTCCTGTGACGCGACGCGACATGGCTTCGAACTCGATCTAATGAAAGTCGCCGACCAGGGACCCATGATGACCCATGGATGTTGATGTGCTGGATGGTGGTTTCAAAGATGCTGATAATTTTTTTGAACAGTATCGAACGATATCCAATATTATTTGTTTAATTTTGTTACTTCAGTATACTCCATGTCATTGGAGTAAAAGCAAAAGTGTCTCGGTGCTGTTTGTCTTCAGCACTCAAAGTGGGGAGCCCTCTTCAATGCAATCATCATCAATCATCCAGTGTACGAAAAGCTTACCAGTCACTATCTTCGATTCGTGGGTTCGTGGTCACAGGTCCATGATTCAACGTCCGCGGTGAAAAAGAGACTCCGCAACAGTTCAGAGAGACAGTTCAGAGAGACTGCTGTTGGGATTTCTGAGGCATCTGCCCCCCATATTCACAGAATTTCTTAATACACCCAGATTGCAATATCACAATAGTATTGTTAATACAATAAACACCCAATCAACCATAGGAATGACAACAATAGTGATGGTGACGATGATGAGGATGATGAGGATGATGAGGATGAGGATGAGGATGAGGATGATGATGATGATGATGATGCTGATGGATGGTGGTGGTGGTGGCGGTGGTGATGGTGATGGTGGTGGTGATGATGATGACCATGATCATGATCACGATCATGTTGCTGATCTTGCTGATGCACGCCGCAAAGCTACACAGGCAAGGAACGGGTTTCAGCATTAAATGAGCATCAACAACAGAGCAACACATGGGTTTGTTTGAACATAGGGTACCCCTAAATCCATTGGTTAACCTCATTTACTTGTCAATTTTGCCATAAATCAGGTGTGTTCCCCCATGTTCATCCATTTTCAGTGAACAACAACAGATCCGCTTCAAAGAATCTTGAGAGACTTTTCTACATAAAGCTCTGCAGCCTGGAGGTCAGACAGCATTCGCAAGGTGCATTTTCTTGAAATTTCTAATTTCAATAGCTGGCAATCCCTACACAACCAGACAGAGGATTGGCGAGAATTTCCGACCCCCCACAACAAGCAGTGCCCAGCAAAGACCAACTTCATTCCTTTACATTCTTCAGATAAGCCAATGCACCCATCGAAGTTTCCGTTTTCTAGGGTAAACCTATTTTTTTCTGAAGTTATATCCTCAATTATCTAAGACTATATGACCATATGTTCTAATCTTTTCTAATAGTTCTAAAGATGAGATTTAATCTATAGTAATTAGTAGTTTTTACAGGAAAAAACGTGAAGACAAACATGATTAAACATGCATTTTGTAATTTTCCTATAGTTCCATCTCTATTTTTCATCTGTATCCCATCAAACCCGTCACACTCCGCCCGCGCCATGGCCGATGAAGCGCCAAACGCCCCTGCCGCAGCTGCGGCGCCAACGGTGTCGTTGCCGAGCAGGCTGAGTACTGAGATGGTCCCAGTTGCAAACGTTGGGACATCCTGTGGTCCATATCCATCCATGTCCCAAAAATATTCCTATATGTCATTGGGTATCATGAAATATCATACAATATCCCATTTATATACATCAGAATCATATCCATTTCCTTTGTGATATATATATATATATTTCTGGGTAAATTTCATCACGACCTCACTGTTCTCCCTCACTGGAATCATAGTTAGTATACGGGGAATCATCCCCAAATGGCCGAACTATTCAGGTGAGTGAAATATTATCATTTACCCAGATCCATCCATGTCCGAAAAATATTCCTATATGTCGACATGGGGGGTTTCCATTACATGGGGATAGAACAAGCTTTTTTGGAGGTCCTGAAATAGGGGCAAATGCCAGTCATCCATTTATAGATGGTATTTCCATGAAATAAACCATCCATGTGGGGGTATCACCATTTATGGAAAAATATCCTATATGTATATGGGGGTTTCTATAAATGGGGATATCCAAAATGGATGGTTAAGGGAAAATCCATCTATACATGGATTATGTGGGGCTGCCCCTATTTCAGGAAACCCCTATATATAATTATATATACACATACACAGTACAGTTAATATAGAAACATTTACTTAGCAGTAACTCGCTGTTTTTCTATGGGAAAAAATATAGTTATACCATCTCTTTTGGGACACCACTTGGATGAGTAAGCAGCTAAACATCTGATTTGTTGCATATCTAAATTGGCCATGATTTGAGATGATTTGAGTTTGTCCAGGAATGGTGGAATGGTGAATTTTTCTCTTTATCTTTTTTAGAGGGGCTACACGATTTATGTAAGACTGCAAGACCAACAAGGATGGGGAGATAAGTCTCATAGTTTTCGGTCATGTCAGGCTGGTTTGAAGATAAGGTAAACTTAGTAAACACCCAAAATCCATGGTGCATCGTCATGGCTTTTCCGGATGAACTGACATTTTTACACATGGGAATGGTCGATCACTTTTTAAGTGCAACCCAAATGAGCCTGAAAAATGGGGGAGGCATTGACACCCCAAATGAAGGGTTACCATGGGTTACCCTAGAGTAAACCAACATAGATGCGGAAAACCCATGGTTAAACCCATGGTTTTCCCCAGGAAAATCGTCTACTTAAGTGGTTTTTTAATATTTTAAACCACATCTATGTTGGTTTGGGCCGGTTTACCCAAATGGGTAATCAGCCCAAATCCTGAATCATTTGGTTCGCGGGTTGGTTTCTCCAGAAATGTCAACCCCAATCCCAAGGGGGAAATGTCAACCAATAGAAATCATCATATTTCTCCTATTCTTTTGATTTGAAAATTGGGGGCTTTCCCCAAAATTTGTCTGCATTTCCAGGGAGAAATTTTGCAGCGATGGGCAACCCCTGTGATCTTCGCCGCAGAGGTTGCCCAAGAGCAGCCTTGCCTTGCCAAAAGCTTCACCAAGTAGTTTGAGAACCCAGTCGGACAAGTCAGCAGCTGTTGGGTTTTACTTGAGCCACTCAAAAGGGAACCAATGGTGCCCCTGTGAATGCAGGGGGTCTGTACTTGATTCTTTCATGCTGTTTCAAATGATATAGAACTGAATTGAGTACTTGAATTGGTAGTCAAATAATGCGTTAGCCGCCCCAAAACCGGGATGCTTCTTGAGAAAACTGAGACATGTTGACATTTTGGCATGTTGGCAAACATGCCATCATAGATGGCGAAAAAGTCCCGACAATTCTTACCCATGATCGTTCAGTCATGTGATATCCATGAAGTTGAACAACTCACCCCTTCCTCCCAAAATTGGCTGAAGGGGAAGTTTGAAGGACACTCATTTTTTCGGGGTAAAACCAATTGTTTCTGGTTTCAATTTCTTACAAACCAATCCATTGCCTTCCGATTCCAAGGAATGACTAAGAACATCTTGGAATTGGATGGCCCTGGGATGGCAGTAACTTCCAATTCTTATGGTCCAATTCCAATCAGCATCTTATCCCATGAACCAAAAGAGCAGAAATGGAAATTCGTATTTGCTAAGGCCCAAGTCTTCCAATTCTTACCCTGGATAAATCTGAAGATGATCTCTCCATTTTTCATGGGAAACCCACAATCTAGAAGGGAATCTTTTTCGGGAAACGTCCGGAATCTCCCCCCAAATTCCCACGATTGAAGGCCAACAAAATCCAAGGCCCAGCGGGAAAGCTGCAGCTTCCGGGTGCATCTCCTTCTTCCAGCGGATTCCTGGCGATGAATGAATCACAACGGCTGAGTAGATCAACGGGATGGAATAGATCATTTATCTATATCTATATCGTTTATCTGGTAATTTGTTACATAGCTATTGAAAATTGCTATTTATAGTGGATTTTCCCATTAAAAATGGTGATTTTCCATAGCTATGTTAGTTTACCAGAGGGTAGATCATAGAATTTTTGAACAACTACTAATAGGGAACAGATATAGTGATGATGTGATGGAACCATAGAAAAATTGAACAACTACCAACAGGGAAACAGATAATCTTAATTTATGACTGTGATATGACTGTGATGATTACAATGAATCGTTATATGATCGTGATGGTAATGATAATGATCATGGTAATGGTAAGGATCATGACTTTAATAGTGCGATAAGTAGTCTAGGAAATAAAATACATTGCAGTAATATTTAATGAATGATACTGCTATTATTGCATTTATTATTGCATTTATTATCATTACTATTCATAGATACCAATAGTAATACAATAAATGATATGAGTGATAACGATAATGAAAGTGATACAATTATTAGATCCAAATTAGCATATCACCATGATACTACTAGTACAATAAATAGTAAATCACACATAACACTGATGACAATAGTGATGATGATGATGCTGCTGCTGCTGATGACGACGACGACGATGATTCCCACTGTTTTCACCACTGGTGTAATGTCTTTAATTCTTGGCAACACTGATTTTAGTAACAACATTATAGTCACTATGAGTATTATTATGTCTATTCTGAATAATTATTAAGCTGATGTTCAGGATATACTGCAGTTACCCGTGTCCAAAGTGATCTTGGCACTGCTGTAGAATTTGCCGGAGTCCGGGGATTTTGCTTCTAATTATCCTCTTGATGGCTCAGTACCCAGTGGTTATCCATGTTTGGCCAAGGCCGCCTATCTACCAGCTCTTGGAAAGGCGCTCTTCATTGAATTCGGATGCCAAAGTTTTCTGGTCAAACAGTCTAGTACATTGGCTTATAGATCCAGTTAAATCCATTATAAATCCAAATCCATCATAAATCCATCATAAATTCATCATAAATCCATCATAAATCCATTATAAATCCATTATAAATCCATTATAAATCAATGAAGTAAACAAACACCGGTTTAGATGGCGACCTGTCATGACCCGGAACGGGTTCCGTTGAAATTTCTGACACTCCTCGATGCTCCTGATAGCACCAGGCCTACGGGGGTCTGGACTCTTGCTTGGAGGCGTCTGGACGGGAACAAGTTGATCTTCTTAGGGTTTGAACTGCTATGTTGATCAAAGGAGGCTTGATGTTGATATATGACGATCATGTTGATCGGTTGAACTGCTGTTCTACTTCTTCGATCTTCTTTTGGTTGCTTTAGCTGGTGCTTTCGTTTATATTCCAAGCTGTTGTTTTTTTTTTCAATCATCCCAGCTGTCGCCAAGCAGTAGGGCAACCTGCAAGGTATTGGGCGCAGCAGCTTCTTTGCCGAGAAGCAAGCGCGACTCGGCGGGTAATCACGCCAACATTTTGCGTCAGCGTCAGGCCGTTCTAATGTCGATAAAAAGGGGGAGGTGTGCAGATGTAACCAATTTTGGTAAATTATGTTGTAAACTGATGGATGATATATTGATGATCTCGTGTGCTGTTTCTGTGACGTGTATGGCTTTGAATGGTTTTGACCCATTCCCAAATTATATTCCAAAAAAATCCAGTGGTGAATGGAGGGAACAGTTCCGAGTGCTGGGTATCCATATTCCCCATTTTCATTGAGAAACCGGTTGGAGCAAGAGATTCCCAACCACATGATATGGGATATGGCTGATTTTGGGGTTCCATATCTTCAATTGACATAAATCAACATAAATTAACTATTGTTCTGGTTGGTGGTTTCAAACATTTTTTATTTTCCATAAGATATGGGATAATCCTTCCCATTGACGTTCATATTTTTCAAGATGGTTAAAACCACCAAGCAGTGTTTGTTAGCCACATGTTTACCCAAGATTCATATCCCCATCCAGGCGTTGAATTTCCGCGTTGCGGACCAGTCCAAAAAAAGCTCCGGTCCAAGGCTGGTGCTTTGCTTTGGGGAAGCCTTCACAAAGGTGGGCCTAGCAGGTGATACTTGGTGTCAGTTGCTGAAAGCGACCCCTTTTTTTCTCATGGAGATTCTATGCTCTACCCTTCTGGTTGGATGGCTGCAGATGTTTTCCATTCATCTCCATGGTATTTTATGGATGCTGGTGGCCATGAACGACTTTTTTCATGAACGCTTGTGACGATCCTCATATTCAAATCAAAGAAATCTCCTCCATGCCGTCCATGCCACTTAAGTTATCAGTTATACAGTGCATAGTTGTACCCTGATATTCTGATGTCTCTCCCATCATTTCAAGTTTTCAGACTTGAAACTTGAAACCACATACATTGTGCCTTCAACTACCACGTTGTCGGGTCTTGTGGATTCTTTTTGTGGCTCCATTATATTATATTCCATCATATCATATCATATCATATCATATAATATCATATCAGATCATATCCCAGCAATATCCTAAATCATATAGTATATTCGATCGGTCTATAATCCCACTATATATATATAATATAATATATATATATACATATGTATTATTTATATCCCATGATGGTGTGTTTTATACCTATTTTTTGGGGGCTACATCATGACATGGTCCTCCGGAGCTTCCCCGAGGAAAACCGGCCCCGCGCCATCTTCCGCAGCCCAGAGCTCCGGCGGCGCCGGATGCTGGGGCCGGAGCTGTCGGGCACGTTGTCGCAGGAGGAATGGGTGCAGGCGCGGAGTCGGCGCGGAAAAACGGTGATCTTAACTCAACACGCGGTACGGTGGGTGATGAGTTCGTCTTATGTTAGAGCTTTGAACCATGAACTAGTATGGGAATATAAGTGGATATATATATATAGAACACCGATCAATGATGGTTGGTTGAGGGTTAGTTTGGGGTTTATATACTATATTGGGGATGATCACTTTTCATGAACTGGTAATCCCTCTTAACCAACCAGGATTCAATGAAACGACAGAGGGTTTTGAACTCTGCTCAGTTGACTGAAGACACCGTTAGTTGATAATGATTGTAGGAGTTGTATAGGACTGTATATATATACTAGATATATACTATATATATATACACACTATATATATACTATATATATACACTATATATATACTATATATATATACTATATATATACTATATATATACTATATATATACTATATATATACTATATATATATACTATATATATATATATACTATATATATACTATATATATATATACTATATATATACACACTATATATATATATATAATATAATATAATATAATATAGGTATATCGCTGGGGGTCTAATGTTGGCCCGAAATCCACGGAATCCCATGCGGGACTGCAATCTGCGAGCATACAAAATATGATCAGTGCATTTCTTGCTTCCACAAGGCGGTGCCAAAACCACCTTGAGAACTATGTCTCAAAATGTCTCAAAGATATTCCCAGTAGTTTGGATTGTTTCAAGCCGTAAACTTAAATATCAACAAGCAGTGCAACCGAAGCAGAACCCAAAAATCACCCAACCCCGAGAAGCCCGAAACCAACAATAAATCAACCATAAACAATCCGAAATATCGGTAACCCCTAAAACAACATCGAATAACCTTGAACAATCTTGAATAAACCCTAAAACAACCTACATGGGTGTATTTCCTAATCATGAAATGCATATCTCCTTATCATGAATGAATACTCCTTACTGTTAAAACAATACGCTAGTAACAAATTCTTTTATCATTAAGTGATTTTTCCTTTACGTACCGAGAAGCATATCTCACCCTAAATAGAAGCAAACATCAACTAAACAAACCCTAAACAAAGACCCCTACACCAACGCTCAAAAAATCTAAACCACCCCCAAATAAACCCAAAAACAACCGTAAATCAATCCTAAGCAACCCCCATAAAAACTCAATCCCCAATGACACTTTGGTTACACTTTGGGCAAACGTCCGCCCCAGAGGGACATATGTATGTATATATATATATGTCTGTACGTACAATTGTTTGTATTATAATGAATTACATATTTCCAAGTCATGTGCTTGTGCCCTTGAGTACATTTCCTGTCCTTCTGGTCCCTTTTTCTCTGAGTTGAAGATCATGTCAAGTTCTTCAGCAAGAATTCCTGTTGAATCTGTTTGATGTACAGGATGATGAAGTGTCACCCAGCTCTGCGTTTTTGTAGCACGCATCATAGGTCTAAGTCCTTTGCTGGCTCACTCTTGCCCACGAAAGAATTGCATGAACAAAACATGGGGAAATGCAAATCTTCTAGTCATTTTTCAGACACAATTTTCATGAGGGTCGTACTTGTGAGTTCTTGAAAAATGTTTAAAATGCTGCAAGTTGGTGAATCAGGGCCCAATGATCATCCCATTCCAATCATTTTGCGGTCCAGGTGCTTAGCGATTTTATGAACAGGCCGGCGGTGGTGCGGCGTCGTGGTGACCACGGGATGATCAACCTCATTTAAGACTGGTGAGATGTGCGACTCAACCATCAACCAATTACCCTCTGGTAGACTGTTACATAGCTATGGAAAATCACCATTTCGAATGGGAAAATCAACTATTTCTATGGTCATTTTCAATAGCTACGTTAAATTACCAGAGGGCATATCCAATTATTCCATATCAACACAACATCAATCTTTAGACTAGTGCTATACCACTATTTTTTACGTATGTACCCCACTCTATTTGTCGCTGGTCTCCGCGGAGGATCTTCTTCCAACATCTTCATCTCAGCCCAAAGGATCGACGCGTGGTGATCTGCGATGGGGTCTATTCGTCTCAGCAATTCAGGCGGGAAAGAGATGGACCCTTCATGCGGCAGTTTTCAGTATATGGTACCCTCTGGTAAACTAACATAACTATGGAAAATCACCATTTTATAGCTGGGTAAATCCACTATAAATTACCATTTTCAATAGCTATATAACAAATTACCAGAGGGTATGAGAGAGGAACACCAACCGAGCAGTGGCTGCTTTTTATCTCGGTTGGTTGATGATGAGTTCGGGGAGTTTTTTCATACGATACTAACGACGTCTTCATGGGGAATATCATGGAATATCACAATCCATGAACGGAGAATCCCATCCTCAATCAAGCAGTATATGGGGACGACTCGACAGGATAAGATGACATTTTTTTCTAATTAATTGTATTTTGATTAGTCTATGCTATAGCAGGTTTTCAACATATTTTGCTTCAGCTTCTCATTGAAGGGGATATTATCCAGAATTATTGAAATTCAATTCTTGAAACAAAAGCCAGGCCTGAGATGCCATCAGGTCTGCAATTTTCCAAACAACCAGCCTGAAACAAGTTAGAAGCGATATGTTTGTATCCATTTCACCAGGCCATAAAGCTATGGATTGCCTTTAGCTGCCATTTTCTTGGTGTTTTTAAACTAGGGATACTCGGTGACTTGCCTAAGTCATGGGGCTATACCCCCAGTTCCAAATCCCTGGGATGGTCCCGAAGATATCCGAAGATCGTGGAACTCGCCCAGCGCAGGTCGGCTTTAGCCTTCGTCCTCTTCAAACTTTTCGCTGTTCCCTCCGTATGTTTCGTGTTGGAACTGGTGCTGCCGCTCTATTTGACGCTTGTTTAAGGTCAATGCCCTGTACTGTGGATGGAGAAATCTTGCACCAGTTGGCTGATGGTAAACATCCCCTTATTATGATATCTAAAATAATCCCATTACCAAGAGTTGCCAACTGATGCAGGATTTTGTCCATCCGCAGTATGTAACGTTATGATTCATATTTTTGATATTGATAGTAATAGTAATGACATTGTGAAGTTGTTAATGGTGATACTGTGGATGGAAGAAATCCTGCATCACCTTGGATGGTTGAAACCCTATAAACAATGGAATAAACCACCTATCAACTGGTGCAGGATTTCTTCCATCCACCGTATGAGGGATGGGTATGATAATAAACATGATAATGCATACCACATTTGTGGGGGTGAGCACTTTTGAACACCAGCTGATCGGTGATCTCTCCAAATCATGCGTTCGCGTTGGTGTCCTACTGATTGTTAACATTTAAAAATTTTAACCATCCAACGGGTGATGCATAGTAAAATGGATAATTGGAGATGATCGAGTTTAGATTGGATCTCATCTTACATCGCAGAGATGAATTAGATTTTCATGTTGGATTATGTTGGATTATTAATCTCGATCTTACTCACTTTGATGACGGGAGAGTTTTTTTTTTCGATGATCCGGTGCGTCCTGTGATGAGGTGGTGCGTTTTCTACCATCCGGGGTTGAGGAAGACGGGACACATCCAAATTAGAAATAATATCATTGATATGCAAATATAGATATATTGAAGTTGAGTTATCCTAAATATGTATTTAAGAACTGAATAATAGCAATAATCACTTTCAGCTGGGTCAGAAGTTGGTCAGGTTTTGGAGTAGTTATTTGACATAAGCATTCAAAACTTGGATGATCAGCAAATGTGATCATGCAATTGTGGCACTTTAGCAGCTCAGAATCGAATCGGAGAGAGGGATCATTGGCAGGACAACCCCCTTTTTGATGGCAAACAACATGCATTCCTACGGATTTTCCTCTTGAACCAACCCAATGATCATAGTCCTGTTGCACGATTGAGACTGGGTTACGTAGACTGGCTTGAATTTCTGGACTAAGGACTGGCTTGCATAGTGGCCTGGTTGTGGCTGGTCAGAAGTCAGAAGGGACAGGACATGACGGACGGGTTGTTCCAAAGAAAGTTGTGCAGCAAGGTGCGAAGCAATCTTGAAAGTTTGGTGTAAGCATTCGACATGTTGAGAGAATAATTCAACTTCAGTCACCAATCTGCAGGTTTCCTTAATAATGCACTCACACTTCAGAGTACTGAAGCTGAATCAATTGAACAATGAGGTTGATGTCATCGCCATGAATATCTTGTTGCATCAGTTGAGGGTACCCAAACCTGCAGCTCCTGAGGAAATAGAATTGTGACGTCAGTGGATTTCTCCCGAAGCTGCCATATGATTTTTGAGCCGTTTTGGCTGGACAGCTTACTGTTTTTGCTGCTAAAAAAACCGCCTTTATATTCCCTTGGGTCATTGGTTGTGTATCTGCAGTGGCTAGAACTATCATTCAACATTCAGTGATTCACTCAGCTCCTATTCTCCTTCAAATCCATCGTTCTTCTTTTTTGCCCAAAAAAGTTCACATCTACTATGTGGCCCATCCCCCATCTAATGAATGTGTGGGCGTTTCTTTCAATGGGGAAGCCTCCAAAAACAATGGCTTGCCTACACAATAGTAGAAGCTTTATTTTGTGGGTTCCGAGTGCCCCCCATTCCTCCATATGGGTTTGGACAAAAACGGACAATGCACCATATATACACTGTATATTATTCAGACACACCCTTATATTGTTGGCTATATGTTGCATTACATCCCATCATATCCCATTGATACCCTATGAATATCCAATGATACATCTCATCGTATTTCATGATTGTTGGTTTTATATGTCCGTTTTGATGGTTAAAATCCGCCATTTCACCAATTTTCTTTCATTTGTTTTTTTTCTTCGAGTATCATATACAACTATAGATAATATCCCACCATGTCCAATTTGCAATTAATACATATATATACATATCATTTGGAAAAACATTGTATTTCGGAGAGACGCACATGATCCCATTATATATTATCATTATACATAATTATCATTATCATATTTGATAGTCCAAGAATAAATCAGAATAAAACCTTAGGAATTTATGCATATATATATATGTATGAATAACCGACAACATTATTGTAATACTAATTTAGTTTTGCTTCACCTTGGCCTTGCTGAGGGGTTTCAAACCTTCATTACCGATAGGGGACTACCCTATACCGATGGGGGATGACCCTAATTTGCCTATGGCATGAAATGAACAAGCAATTTTGTCTGCCATACATTTCTACATATACGTATACTGGTTGGTGGTTTCAAACACGGCTTTTATTTTTCATAATATGTATATATTAATATAATATATGGGATAATCCTTCCCATTGACTAATATAAATTCAATATGGTTAAAACCACCAACCAGTATACAGTATATATATATATGTATTCAAATTAACATCATCATCCCATATCATGCCATATCATCCCTATGAATATCATCATCCATCTTAACACCCAAGCATATATCACATCATATCCCACAAATGTCCAATTTAACTTAAATAAACTAATACATATATATATATATATTGTGGATTGGTGTCCAAGACTGGTAGGGATCTACAACCAAAAGGATTTGAATGTCCACTCCGATGAACCACCAATAGATATTGCTAAGCCACCTGAAGAACTCACAATATATAATCACATTAGTATCAAATATCATAGAATATCATGAAATATCATACAATATCCCATTAAATTTATATACATCAGAATCATATCCATTTCCTTTGTGATATATATATATATATTTAATCATGGTTAGTAAGGGGAATCATCCCCAAATGGCCGAACTATTCAGGTTAGTGAAATATTCTAATTCACCCATATATAGTTTAATATACATATATACATATATACATATATACATATATACATATATACATATATACATATATACATATATACATATATATATATATGTATATTAAACTATATATATATATATACAGAAAATATATGTACTATGATATCCCATCATCACCATCGTCCCAGCTCCCAGGTGGATCTGGGTTTCGGCTCAGCCAAAGTGCTCCCCAGCTCCGCTGGGGTGCCGCTGCTGTCGGCCTTCAGCGATGCCAACTGTGGGACCAAAGCTGTCCTGCAGGCGGTGGCCCTGTGGCTGGAGGGGGGTTGGATGACCAAAGATGGGTATGGATCAATACCTATTAATACCATTTTTAGGGGAATGAACATCCATTTACCAGCTATTTTGATGTTCACCAGGGGTACAAGGGTTTTGACACACTGCCAGATTTTTACGAAAATCACATGGATAAATGATGGAGAAACATGATTGGTTGATGGTATGAACATAGTTTTTTGGGGATAAAGCCTTGGTAAATATGTGGAACATTGTGGAACTGTTTATGACATGTAGATATCTCTAAGTATACGTAAACATCAACAATTCAATTCAATGCTGTTTTCGGACACTAGGAAAAAGAAATGCAAAGGCTTAATTGTATTTTAAAGGAATTTGGCATTTTGAGACTTCACGACCTTCCGACGATTTTTGAAGATGATTTTGAATCCAATTTTTAGATCTAGCACCCTTCTGTGATGATAGGTCTTGACCCACAGTCATTCTTTTCAAGTTCAACGACCTTCGGAGTTTTCTTGTGAAGACGAACCAATGTGTGCTGATGTCTCTTGACCGTCTTGCCATCAATTTGAATTCCGGTCTTTCAGAATGCATCATTATTCGCCAACATGCAGCAATATGGTTTGTCTGTGAATAGGGTACCCCCCGATGTGAATTTTGACACCTCATTTTCCTTATCTATTTGATGGTAAATTGATAGGGTAAATCCCCAATGTTCAGAGAACCCCCAAATATCACATGTTTTTTTTTATTATCCCATTGTAGTCCCATCGAAAAATCCCATGAAATGGTTGGATGTATGGTGATTTTTTTAACCCACTTACTAACAAATTATATTCCCAATCATATCCCATTATGCTCGGATTTCCAGCCCCATTTTGACGCTCAACTCTCAGCCCTTTGTAGCCATACCAGGCGATCAAGAAGGCACTCATGGATCCCGCAGCCGGAAATGACGGAATCCTGGACATTCTGGAGGATGAGACGGTTTTGGCGTCTCAGCTGAGCTGTGTTTTTTGGACCCTGGGCACCAGGCTGGCATCCACGAAGTGGAGAAAATGACGATGAAACAAGTCATGGTCCACTTGGGTATGTCCGAGAAGTCCCAAAAAAAACATTAGAAAAACTGGGTGTCCCCTCCACCCTGGACTCGACCAGCTTCTTTCCGGTGTGCATGGTGTATGGACAACATTGGACAAGGCCAGACTGATGGCACACCGCGGCTAAACCTAGGAGGATGTCTTGGTCTGTGCATGCTATGTGACTTGCGACTTCCCTAAGGCTTGGTTCTGCATGGAGGGAGTGGCTTTGTGAGGGATGCAGGGGCAAGTTGGGAGTTCCGTATATTTGTATTAAAGATGATTGCACCAGGAATCAATCATACAGATAGGTCTTCATTGTAAAGTTAGTGTGATTCTCCGAGTCGTCCGTTGATGTGGTACAACAAGGCAAACCCACTAATAAGCAATGGGTCATGTTGGATTCTGTTTGGTTTTCCAAAGCTGAACCTTAAAATGATAGCAACTTTCAAAACATCTGAATCTGTCTGAACATGGGGGATACCTCAAAATAACCGTTTTACTGGTGAAAACCCTGATAAACCACGATTTCTACTATCATTTGGGGATACGCCATGTTCAGACACATTCAACTGTATATTGACAGTACCCTCCAGTACACTAACATAGCTATGGAAGCCATGGACCATTTAGTTCGATGATTTATCATTATCTACCCATTAAACATGGTGATTTGTTTCATAGCTATGTAATTATTTAGTTTGTTGATTTACCTATTAAACACGGCGATTTTACATAACAAGCTATTAGTTTACCAGAGGGTATCCCCGTTCTATCCCATTCAATTCCATTAAACTTAATTAAATCATCATTTTTGCTGGTTAAACAGTTAAACCACCATGTTTCATAGGTAAACCACCGTGAGTCTATCGTTGGTTTCCCACCTTGTAGCTTCCTGGTTCAACGCCTTGGATCTCAGGACAGAGAACAGCCAGCGAGGTCATTGAAGAGCGACAAGGACGCGGAGGCGGCGACGGATCCGGTGACGTTTGCTATTGAACATGGCCATAGAAATCGTTGATTTACCCAGCTATGAAATTTGGTGATGTTTCCCATGGTTTTTTCGTATGTTTACCAGAGGGGAGAGAAAACAAGAGGTGATGTGAGGGAGGGATTTCCATGGATTTCGTAGATTCAATTAAATGATGTTCTAAGGATAGAAAAGTGTGGAAGTATTTTAACGGGTTTGCTTTGCAATTTCAAACTGGGGATCAAACCTTGTTCCTGGGCCGAAAAACTCCCTGGTAAGCTGACATGATTCTCACAGGGGAAAACCATCTAGAATTAGGAGCAGGGAATCAGTATCAGTACTACCCCCAGTTATAAATTGGTTTATAAACCCCAGTAACTATAGTTATAAGTACCATAAACCATAGTTATTGGAGTTATAAACCAACTTAGCTATCTAGGGGGCCCCACTTTGTAAGTTTGTTTGCCAGGATGGGCCAATTTTAAGCAACTGACCAGCAAAAAAAATACTGCAATGGCTTTGATGAGCATCATTTTGATATGTCACGTCTGCAGAAAGTGTTCGACAACTAGTACTTTATATATTCCATCAGATTCTGTCAAATTAGCAAGGAAACCATCATACGTTCTATGTATTCTCTGGCAATCAAACATGTCAACTGACAATTCCTCCTTGACAGATGATTTTCCGATTAAGAACTGCCTGGTATTTTTATGGTATTTTCGTCATGCTATGTTTGAAAATCCACCGGAACCCTCCTCTCAGGTGCGGCTCCTAGGTCGGGACCGAGCTTTGAAAGTGCCCGCTGCGTGCCGGCACGGCGTGACAGAGACTTGAGCACCGGGATGGCGGGGGTTGGCGAACCACCGCACGGTACATGGGGAACACAGTGAAGACCCAGAAATCTTGAAATGATTGGAATATATTGGAATAGACTATATATATACTATAGACAATATATGAGTCATGATATGAGATAATAGTTTAATAGATATTACAGAATGTGTGGTTTTTATCCCTTGGCCAGATCAAACCCATGGGTACTTGAGGACTTGAGCCAGGCATCCCACGTGTCCACCCCTCAACCAGCCACGTGAGGTACCAAAATCCCTTTTCGGCAAGTCGACCATTCTAAGTCCAACAACCTCAACATGCCTCAAAACCTAGACATCCCGTTCTCCTTTGTACATCACCATGTTGTATAATTATAGATTATGGTTTGAATCATGTACACAAACAGTTTCAAGTGACGAAGCCCACTTTGTGTTTTAAGTGGGTTTTTTTCCGCAAGTTGCGGCCTGAAAATTCCAGGAATGTTTCTTCCATCCGCAGAGTGCAGAGAACCACAGCTGCGCCTGTGATACGCTCCCCGAGGCGGTAGTCCCAAGGGTTTGTTTTAAAGTGGCTTATAAGCCATGATATGCCCACTTAGAGGGGAATATTAGTAAACTGTTGGCTAACTCAGGTTTCATTTTGGCAAAGTGCTGAACATCTGGACTTGTCACACAAAATCTGCAACAACGATGGTGGTCATGAACTGTGAGAAGGCATTTGTTGGTTCCCAAACAAGGCATTTTGCATGCCATCATGGTGTTTCCCTATGGTATCCGTTGCTATGAAGGGAATTCCGGTGCTATGGAAAGCTGCCAGGCTTTCGTACGCACTTTGGAGCTGTGCCCCATGGACATCCGTGCCCAACTGGTGCAGAACGTGGTGATTTGCGGAGGTTTGACTGAAGCGATCCTGTCGGTAGGTATCCCAATTTTGACCAATACCGACATGGGTATTTCTGAAAATTAGGATGCCCCAAAACCATTGGTTTCCGTATCAAAAATCACCGACTTTGGACATTGGATGATTTTGAGGTTGCCCATGCGAAAGGCCGATCATTTCAGAAGATCATTCTAAATTTATTGCCACTTACATCCCCATTTTCATTGTATACCGCTTGATTCTCAGGACCTTGATGCTACCATTCTTCCGTTGCTTAAAGTCAACATGTTTCGCCATTTCCGGTGCTTAAATCATGCTGGGAGGATCATCCCACATATAGTGACTTAAAAAAACCTATCCAAAAATACGCAAGTCGTGGGCTTCTCCATGTATAACTGGGATATTTACATGATATAACATGATATAACATGATATAACTGGCTCAAAAACATGTGGCATCATGTGGCTATTGACCAGTTACCCCACTGTGGGATCCTCCAAGTCGTAACCCGCGGACAGGTGGCGCCACGCTGCGCGGCTTGCTGCCGCGCCTGGCGCTTGAAGTGCAGAAGGCCCTGCAACAGCACAAGGCCCCGAGCTCGGAGGTCCTGGTGATGGCTGTTGGGTCGGTAACTATTATTTGGTTAATAAAAAAATGGGGATTCAACAACAATTCATGAGCTATGACTATTTAATCATATTATATCATATTTAACTAAGAAACCTCTGGTCAAGTTTAACAGTTTGCTATGTAAAATCACAATTTTCATAGGTAAATCACGATAACTGGGCCATTTTCCATAGCTATGTGAGTTCACCAGATTATTCAACAATGAGTCAAGCATAATTATGAGCTATTTATGAACCAGCTTTATCCATATTATGTAGATAATGGGAAGGGGGGAATGCCCAGGGCCATGCCCAGGGCCATGGTCCCAGATGGTCCCAGCAGGTGCTTTCCGCCCTGGCACCCAAGCTGCGGCTAACACCTGTGGACTTTGCGCCCATCTGCGCAGCCTGGACCGGGGGTGCCATCTATGGATCCCTGGAAGGTGTTCCGGACTACAGCGGCTTGGAATGAACGCAGGGGGTTCGGGGGTTCTTCAAAAGGATCCCCAGGTCTGGCTTTCGATACAAAGTCATGGTCATCCATGACGACTGGATGATTTGGGGTATGCCTATTTTAGGAACCCCCCATATATTCGATGTGTATACCCATTGGACTTGGAAAAGTAATTTTGACGTATTATTATTATTATTCCATTTTCAAATTCAATGGCTGTTCAAGTGATTCCCATTGAAACTGCTATTTAATTGGGTATACCACATGTTCAGACACACCCATACCGGGTCGAATTGCTGAAAAAACAGCCAACCAACTTGAATTCTAGCGATGACAGTTAGACACCCCTGGTTCCCCAATCTCAATGTTGTGTGAAAGCATGGCGGAGCCTTCAAAAAAAACGGCCATTCTTGCTCCGGCCATTGAGAAGTGATACGTAGCAACATTGATACAGGGGGTCCGGGGGCTTCCGGTGCATGTTGGAACTGTTTGGTCTTTTTTTTGTGGAAGAACCCGGTATTATATCAATTTTAATATATGAATGGAAATGCGTTACATAAAAACAGACATTTTGATGAGTCTTTATGAATTGTATGTCAATCTGTATGCATATATATATATATACATACATTATGTTATGATTATATATGTACATATACTTCATTAAGACTCATAAAAATATTCCTGTTACAGGTATACATATGTATATATAGCCTCGTCCAGGCTTCTGGAACTGCGTAAACCTGAATTAGGTTGGTAAAACTTGTCCATTCCGTGACGAAATTTCGTCGCGGAATTAACAAGTTTCATTTGGGTCATGTTCATCATCATCATCATCATCAGCAGCATCATCATCATCATCATCAGCATCATCATCATCATCATCATCATCATCAGTATCATCATCACCAGAAACATGTGAGACCAGTTTTTCCCACCCCGCGTGTGCGTAGCATCAACTGCTGCCGCAAGTTCACATGAACGTTAACATCCCACCCCACCCCACCCCCCAATCGTATTCAGGTTTACGCAGTTCCAGAAGCCTGGACAAGCCTATATATACACATCACAGAATATATATATATATTATACACATAGAATATATATATATATTCTGTGATGTATAGTGCTGATTCTGATAGTGAATTTTCTTGGGTACGGAGCAACGTTTCCTTTGAGTTCTGGAAACGAATGGATTTGCTGCATCCATTGAGGTGCTGAAGACTTCAGAAAGGGCGCAGCGCTCCCGGACTGGCTTCGGAGTGGCTTCGTTTGATGGTGAAAACAGCGGCCTGGAGGGGTAGCAGAACCCCTGATGGGTGGTTTCTGGGCATCATACCACCAAACGGATGGTTGAGTTGAAACCCTATAAATAATGGGATAAAACATCTATCAACTGGTGCAGGATTTCTTCCATCCACAGTATGTAAGATTGGACTGGTCTATTCTTTTCGGGATTGCTCTGAGATTGGCAGGGCTATCAAAATCATTGGGCGGAAACACAGGGTTTCATCCAGGTTCCTGCGATGTAGCTGAAGAACCTGTGTCAGCATGGATCAAAAAGTGGAAAAACATGAAAACAGAGCTGTTTGGGTAATGCATGAAACCCTATGTTTATTTGATTTATTTTGTAGCCCCAAATGGATCCAAATGGCAAAACATATATCCCAGCAGAGAGTGTCACTTGATGTCTTCCTAACACTAACACTGCAGCGTTCAGCCTCGAGCTCCGCATTTTTTCAGCCGCAGCGTCAGCGTGTCCGATCTGCGCATTCGATTAAGGTCCGGCCCGGATCGAGAAATGTCTTAAAGTTTGAAATGGGCGGATTGATACTGTGGGGTTTTTGTGAATATCCCTGGAAAGACAACAATAGTTCCAGTACTTTCCAGATATTGTTCCATGTTCCATGTTCCATTTCTTGACCAATTTCTAGAATTTTCTGAGTTCAATGATAGGGATTTAATGAGGTTTAATTGGGATTTCATGGGGTTTAATGGGATTATAATCCACACACAATGGAATATGCCCTCTGGTAAACTACCATTTTCTTCACACATCGATGCCTAGGATTCCAACCAAAACCCGGGTGGCTCCGCAGCTGATTTTTCTACCAGGCCTTGGCATCTGCCGCGTCCACGGGTCTAAGCCTGCAGTTGCCGAAGTGACTCAGCAGAGCTTCGAAAATGCTTGGGATTTATGATATTTATGTGTACCCCATAGCTGGGTTATATAATATTATATAATATATAACATATAATATATTATATGTATTCCCATGATATTATCATCAAGTTGTTGGTTGAATCCCGTATTGATGTAGTATACCCGATAGAGGTTCATTATTGGGTTTACTAGTATACCTCTATGGATGTAAATGATCCCCACATGGTTGTTTACAGGGATGGTCTATTATTAGGTGAATCACATCGTCTTCACAAAATATGCGATGAGAATGTATGAGAGGTCTTGACCCACCATATCTCGATTTGTTAAGCAGATAATACTCATGGACTTATAGACCTGAGATGACCTGAGTATATTATGCTGCGTAATCAGTACAAGGTGCATAACGTCATGAAACATGTAACATGTCCAAAAAAAAACATATGATGATGTACAACCAAATCTACTAGTCCCCTGAGATTTACCTCTATAAATCAGCCCCCATTGGTCAACTCCAGTCATCCAGCCGCGGGTTCCAAGGACCGCCCAGACGAAACCTGTCCGGATCAGCGAGCCGGGTTCACCATGGCGAGCTTTGCTTTGTTGAACGAGGTCGCCCCAGGGGGGGGTTCCAAGAAATCCCCCATGTTTTTGTACGTGTAGCCAGAGCTGAATTCAAGGGATGTGGGGGATAGGTTCAGTGACTACCAGTTCCAAGTTAACAGGATGGAACCCTCCTGAGTATTTCCAGTGACTTTGGGGGTTGACCACCATCAATGGTTCGCTGCTGAATGTGGTACACATATCCAGCTATGAGTTTCTTCAAGGTTAAGAGACCTAGATCTATGGGAACTCATGTCTTTAGAGATATTTTTTGAGGGTGTCAGAATATTTTTTGCGGGTGTCACAATTTCCAGAAACACGGAGAACGCACCTAAAGATATAGTTCCAGATATCAGATTTCAACCCCCTGGTTTGACCAATTTCTCCTGTCTCCGAGCAAATTGTCCTGGTATCAAACGACAAATCTCTGCAGGAGAAGAAGATCCTAAGGCCGGAGAGCATCAAACTTTTGCTGCTGTACTTAGAAACAATCCGATCCCGACCAGCCGAACTTGGTGCATGTTTGCATGGGAAATATGGGTTTTGGAATCAATCACGAGTTCCCAAAAGCCGTGACTGTTGGGTTGCCGGCAACCATCTCTGGGTCAGTGGTTTTGGTTGGTTTTTTGCCCAGCCCCAAAAAAACGAACGGAACTTAGTCTTGGTGGATTCTGTTCAAAGTCTCAGATGTCGATCCCATGATGGAAGGTCTGTAGCTCCCGCAATGCTGTCAGTACTGGGGAACTGAACCGTCCAGAGTCCAGCCTGATCCAACATTCGGCTGAAGAATTCTCTCAGGAAAGATGTGATTTGTGACATTTACATAGACCTTGCCACGAGGTTTGGAAGATTCCTCTAAAAAACTCTATATAGTGATTCTCAGGGGTCACGTTGTTACTTTGGGATCTTTGGGGAATGGCTATCATCATCTTCCGCATCAGGCGAAAGGAAAAAGAGTTGGAACGTCAGCAGAAGATCAATGAGATCAAAGCTGCTCCCGCACTTCGGCTGCAAGTGTTGAAGGCGGTCGTGGTGTGTTTTGGCCCAGGATTTGGTAGTAACCACCCCCAAAAAGTGTGAAAAAACCGTATCAAATGTCCAAATGGTAATGATTTACACTTCTATCCTTATGATTCTTAGTGGCGGTTTCTGCAAATGAAATTTAGATGCGGGGTCAGCGCACTACGTATAATTGGGTTGGTCTCAGCCCAGAGACAGTTCTGCAACAAAATGCAGAGAGCCCCTGACAATTTTTCTGTTGAAGGTTGAACTGTGGGGTTTTCGAACCATTTTCTTGAAATGACAACTCCTGCAAAAAGTCAAAACCAGTAAACATAGTCATTTTTGAGCTGCACGCCAGTCGCAAGCCACGCGAGGTCCCTGTTCACATGGGCAAATGGGCCGATGCCTCGGATGATGAGGAGCTGATGGCCGAACCTGGCTTCGGTAGGATAAGGTGCTTCTTTTTGCTGGGGAATATATGGAATAGCTGGCAGGATTCGCCTTGGATTAGACATGTTTTCGTGATGTTTTCAAGGTAGGCTGCAGGTTGGGGGTCACCCCTTGGTTTCCTATTGATTGTTGGAAAATAAACAAGTAGTATAATTATCATGGACATCAGGCGAAATAGGCCTACTCAAGACAGCGTGTCTGACAGTCTATTCATAGCATATTTTTTTCCCACAGATTTACTCCTTATTTGGCACTTATCTCCATACCTATAGGATCCTCTAGCTGGTTGGTGGTTTGGATCATTTTTTATTTTTCCATTCAGTTGGGAATGTCATCATCCCAACTGACGAACTCATATTTTTCAGAGGGGTAGGTCAACCACCAACCAGCTACAAAGTGGGGCCCCCTAGATAGCTAAGTTGGTTTATAACTCCAATAACTATGGTTTATGGTACTTATAACTATAGTTACTGGGGTTTCTAAACCAATTTATAACTGGGGGGCCCCACATTGTAGGTATTTTGCTATGAATCCAAGTTGCCTCCAGAACACTGTGGGTGAACCCCTGCAGCGAAAAACCAGGATCTCAACGTCAGGGCGCCCATTTCGGACTCTGAGACCGAGAGTGAGCCTGCTGATGCTCCTGAGGCCCGAGCTCCAACAAAAAGGAACTCCCAAGTCACCACTGCTTTCAACTGTGAATTTCAAACTTCTAATATATACATACATATACTAATATTATATATATATTTAAAATTGTATATATGATAATATTATATATATAATGATATTACATATAGATAACATGATATTGTAGATATAGAAAAAAATATTATATATAGAT